TTCTCTAGTTTCTGAAGAATTTTCGGGACCCATGCTCTTTTCTTACTGGATGGAAATATATGCAAGGCACACATCCTCAACGCAAGACACCTTTTTCGGGACGAGAAATAGAATATCTTTGCCTAGGGTGATCGTTGGGCTGTAAAAGCTCCTGATTTATGCTCGTCTCAGCCCAAGCTACGGAACTGCTATTCCAGTTCAAAACCCATGTTAAAAAGTGAACTATTTCCTTTAATCTGAGGCCTGTTTCACTAAAAACTTGCGATTACAAGTGTTTGAACTTTACAATTCATAAGTATTTTTGCAAACTATGTAAAATCGGATTTCACTAAACTTCATCACCAGCGGCACCTCCGATAAAAAGAGTTGGTAAATAAACTTGTAAACAGTAAAGTTGTTTTTAATCAAGAACTATAACATGTTACAGATATTGCTTCTTTTTATCAACTTATGTCTAGATTTCATGTCAGAAATTGCAGGAATAAATTAAAAATAATGATGCTGTTTCTGAATGGTATAAATGATAGTTCACAATATCTTATTATTGAAAGAAAATAGCACGTAAAGCATTTGACAGCAGAAGACTGTTGAATGCAATTATGGCGCGCGAATGACAAAACATGACGATATTTATTTATTGCTCGTAGCTGGTTCGTAGAGAATGTGCTAAGTGAAAAAGAGCGTATAATGACTCAGCATATCATATTTGTTTTAAATAATTGATTGCTTTGCATCATTGCACAAAAAGTAATAAAATTCCAAACGTAAGGGCCACTGGAATTTCGGGTTTGTAAGTACAACGTTTTCTTTCAAGTTTTTGGTCTTCGTGAAACAGAAAGTTTGCGATTTCGATATTTCTTACAAACTTTTTTCTTGTAAAAAAGTTGGTAAATTTTAAACTCAAAATTCATGCCCGAAGGTTTCGTGAAATCCAAATTTCAAATGTTGGTAATTATTTCTTTTAAACTCAAGTTTTTTCTTTGTAATTACACACTTCTGACCGTGGAACAAGGAAATTGACCGTGGAATGATATTTTTAATGATTTTTTAAAAATGACAGAATGGTGGAAATATGGGTTATACGACATTTAACATGCAATTTTAAGGAAAATGAAGCATTTTTTACATTTTGAGGTCAAGTATAATAATTTTCGCCTGGTTATGAAGTTTCATTCTAGCGACACCAGATGCTGACATATGCAAGCGAACACGCGGACAGTCCCGAGGTAATATTGTTGACTTTTGGTGTCGGGGCGATCGACCGCGTGGAACGTCAGTGATTTTACCGAACTACTGTTGTAAACTCAGTTTCAGTGGTTTAAAATCATTCAGCTGTATTTTATCAGCCCTGAAAGACATATTTTATTTGGATGCTAGCTGTTTAGCGTTGTTTTATAAGCAGCGTCATGAGGGTGGTTTTTGTCTTCGGCGTTTCTAAGCATGATCGTTTGGTGGGAATTTCTCTGATATAGGTCGCTCTGTGTGGCTTATTTATAATTTTTATGCTGATTTCGATCATTCCTCGTGCCCATCCTACCAGGCCTTTTGCCACTTACACTCATTAAGAAAGGAAAAAACTAGATTTTCATTGGGACTAGGTGTTTTGAGGGTGTAACATATTCAGCGTTCCCATTTTTGGATACTTCTTGTGCTCGTCAACTCTCGGTGATTAGCAGACAGGTGCTTGACATGTCTCCACCCTCGGCGCGGACGGTGGATATAGGTATGGAAGACCTTGTTGAACATTGCTGAGCGTTGTGGATTACGTAATCCTGCAGAGGGGGGCGTGCCCGCTGCGAGATCGACGGGAATAAAAGCGCAGAAGACCGGGCGAAACATGCAACGGTCTTGCCGGAAAGGTCATCTGATGATTGTTGCGTTAACAATAATTTGCGGCGTTGGACGTGATGCTTGTTAATGAAAAGAGCCCCTGAAAGGCGTCGGTGAAATCGTCCCCAATTTTGGGTACGCCGTTCCCATAATAAGGAACGCTTGCAGCGCCAGTGTACGAGAGCGTTCCCAAATTTGGGCTCGCGGCCCGGGTGATGGACTGCTTTAGAAATAGGGGAACGATTTGAAACTACGATGGGCCTTACAATATCAAACTCTTTCCCAACAATATTGAGACAACTATCAGGCGGTTCACGATCGTTTTATATTTTTTGGACGTCATTTAACGGTTCTTTTTCTTGTTTTAAATAATGCCTACATGGCGTTCCCATATTTGGGTCTATCGTTCCCAAACATGGGAACGAAAATGCGTTCCCGAAAATGGGTACGCTTGACCATAGTTCCGCCTACTGATATATGTAGATCACAAAAACAAACCAGTCAATACAATACAAATTTCTTGAACACTTCTTGAAAAGTGTCAAAGCCATGAGGCAAAAAAAGAGTGATAGGACAAACTTATTAATATTTCTGAATTCTAAGGTCTTTCATGTGATATCAATAGTTAATTTCATGTCATGTTATGATAAGGCAGCTAGTAACTTGGAGAGCCCTCAAGTTAGGTCATTTTCTCCATATTCCATAGGGTTGCATAATGCATTATAGCCATTTGACACTTTGCACCAATGCTAGCATGCATACACTCACACACACAAAAAATAGCTTGGCAATCATGAAAAATGTAAAATGCATAAAAAAGTTAGCATACCTAGCCTTGCATGGCACAATTTGCAGAATACAGAGATTAGCTGTTCTGCAGTGCCACAGATGTTAAAGTTGCATTAGAATTGGCATACCAATACCTGGGTCAAAAGCACTTTCACACAAAACAATCCAACCATACTGACTGACCCCAACAAAACACCCTATGCAGTAAGTACACTGAATATCTGGCAATAAAAGTGGCAGGTAAAAAACTTTCAATCTATATCCCTAAAAATAACACCGGCATCACAACCAAAGGGGACATTTGAGGCATTTGTCCATTACGCGGCACCCAAAAAATTGAATTTCATTTTTGTCACAAAGAAAGAACACTACATTGACATTTGATTAAGAAGTGCTCAGCAGGGATAAGCAAGCAGAATCTGATGACTTTTTTGAAATTGCAGAACTTGAACTTTTTCATTTTGGAGAGAATATTTATACACACTGTGGGAGAGAATGCCCCCTGCACTCTGCACTCTGCAGTATTCTGTATTTCAATGTAAAATATACCAATACACCATAGTCATCCTAACGCAAAAGCTAAAAAATCTCACCTTTAGGCAATGTTGAACAATTCTATGCTGGAAAATATCACAAAATAGCTCAAAACTGTAAATGTGGAAGAGTACAGCGGCGCGGCCGGCGGGCGGCGGCGCGTTGTCATTTGGTAGCAATTCAGTAAAGGCCTTTTGCTCAAAGAAAAACCCCGTTTTCCTTCACTAAGGATAGGACGCGTGTATTTCGAGTCTAGAACGTCATTTAATAACTGGCAGCCTGTTGCTTGAATCAACTTCGAAGTAGATTTACACAAAGCAGGTCTCCTGATTAGATCGACTCAGATTTGAGTAGAACTACACAGGAAGCCGCTTTTCAGTAGATCAACTTCTGCATGTCGATTTACACACGGACCGGTCGCGCGCTAAAATCTACTCGGATCTGAGTCGATTTACATCATGACGACTCTATGCGTATGTTACGTCGGGAGTTTAACTTTACACACGGACCGGTCGCGCTAAAATCTACTCGTTACAGTCAAGCTAAGATGCCCCTTGACGTCATAGTAGTAGAGGAATTCCTTCACTTTGAGAAGTACATACGGAATTTCTGTACACTTTGCCTCGCCTGGACCTGCCCGCCTTGGAAAAATTCATAAATCAAATGCTTATTGCTTATCATACAATGCAGAGTGCAGTAATGGCGACGCCATAAGCGTTTTACACCATAACCAATGGTGGATCCAAGGGGGGTCACATGAGTCATGACCCCCCCCCCCCCTGGAGCCCGGGGGCACCACCGGCCTGCCAAGGGCACCACCGGCGACCGGCCTATCAGGGATACCACAGGCCTGACGGGCATCACAGGCCCGCCAGGGGCACCACAAGCCCGAACAGGATCACCACGGGCTCGTCAGGGGCACCACTGGCTTGTCAGGTATACCTACCACAAGCCTGTCAGGAGCACCATCGGCCTAGCAAGAGCACCACAGGTCAGCCAGAGGCACTTCAGGCTTGTCAGGGGCACCACAGTCCTGTATGCGGTCTAGCAGGGGCACCACAGGCCTGCCAGGGGCACCACAGACCTACCAAGGGCACTACGGGCCTGCCAGGGGCACCTCAGGCTTGTCAGGGCCCAGGGACACCACAGGCCTGTCAGGGGCACCACAGGCCTGACAGACGCACCACAGTCCTGCCAGGGGCACCACCGGCCTAGTAGGGGTACCATGGGCCTGTCAAGGGAACCACGGGCCTGTCGTTGGCACTTCATGCTTGTCAGGGGCACCACAGTCCTTCCAGGGGCACCACAAACCTGTTAGGGGCATCTGCGGCCTAGCAGGGGCGCCACAGGCCCGCCAGGGGTACCACAGGCCTGCCAAGGCCCAGGCCTAGCAAGGACACCACAGGCCCGGCAGGGGCACCACGGGCCTGTCAGGGCCCATGAGCACCTCATTAGGCTTGTCAGGGGCACCTTAGGCTTATCAGGGTGGCAGGGGCACCACAGTCCTTTCAGGGGCACCGCAGGCCTGTTAGGGGCATCACCGTCCTGGCAGGGGCACCAGTCACCACAGCCCTACCCAGACCAGACCAGAGGCACCAAAGGCCTGTCATGGGCACCACCAGCCTAGCTGGGCCGCTGGGGCACCACAGGTCTAAAAAAAAAACCTGAAAATAGGGAACCACCAAAATTAAGTGGCCGAAACCCGTGTGTGGTTGGAATGGTGACTCTGGTCCTAATTGTTCTCGCTCGTAGCGCTATTGGTTTGGTCTGCAGAAGGGGTGCCTGTCTTACCTACGCTGACCGTGTTAGCCCACTTTCCCCAACATACAAGCTCATTTGCCAGTTCATTCTGAGTAGTAAGTTTATTGATCTTTCCCTGACCACCCTGATTAGTTCCGCTTAGTTACAAAAGTACATGCCTATTGGCTTCATACGAGTCAGCAGCGCGAAAAAAAAAGAACAAGACGGAAGATAAATTTGATGCACGGCACGGGTCGCAAGGCTGATGCGTCCTTAGCCAACACGTCACCAACAGTCACCATACTAGCCGTTTTCACGACGGGCTAGCCGGCGAGTGCACCTAATTTGACCAAATCTGCACCTTATATCTTTTACTGCAAACATCTTTATTTTATGAACTTATTTCAGTGTTTTAATCGATGATACTCTCTCGGAAAATATGACAAAGCAGGCATATGTAATATGAGCAATTAGTGCAACCCTAGCTGATAGCCAGGGCTGTGGAGTCGGAGTCGGAGTCGGAGTTGGAGACGGTCGGAGTCGACAATTCTGCCCGGAGTCGGAGTCGGAGTCGGAGTCGCTAAAATCTTACCGACTCCGACTCCGGAGACGGAGTTAACGCTACATTGCTCAACGTCATGCACTGCACCTGTTTGATTGACTGCACTCGAAATTAGATGTTGTCGAAAAAAGACCATTTTGCTGTTTTGGACGAACGTTTTCAGCGAAAGGAGCAGAAGACGGTGAACTCCCCGGAACCTGCTTTTTAATGCTGCATGTTACTTTAAATGCATATTTGCAACGCAAAGTCTTGGAAAGCACTAGGGGTCGTTTCAGGCAAGATAAAACATTTCCATTAGGAACTTTAATCATGATATGGTTTTCAATAGAACCGTCCGGAGTTGGAGTCGGAGTTGGAGTCGGAGTCGCAGTCGATTTTTGAAGCCGGAGTCGGAGTCGGAGTTGGAGTCACCCTCAAATCCATCAACTCCGCAGCCCTGCATACACACCTCATAAGTCATAACAGCTGAAACATCGAGTAGGTAGGTACTGCGCATCCCAAGGTAGCTGACCGCTGACACAAGCGAGACTTTTGGTACGGCCGGATGTCAAGTACCTCAGGGCAGCTGACACATGGGGTACAGCCGAATACCGGTGCACGGGTAGTCGTTCCACTCGCCGAAGCGCACACCATCCTTCACCTTCCAGCTCGAGACGCAGTGTTCCACACCGCCGGCGTTGTCCGGCTGAGTCGGTGACCACACCTGCCCCTCGTTGTCCGTGACCGGCCGGCCGTCGCACTATGGTTGGAAACGGCCTCACGGATGGCCGTGGGCAATTTCGGAATATATGTATATTTGGGGTGCCATTCTGTTGGAAATTGATGAAATGTTTTGAATTGGGCAGCAAAAATTATTTAGTTGCGCATTTAGTCTCCATTATTGTACGTGGAATCGGGAGTTTCTGATAGTGACTTTTTTGGTGCGCCGTCAAAGGTTTAAACAACCGCGCTGTTGATAGCATGCGGAGTACCTCCATGACGTTGTAAAACTGGATTATTATATATCAAAATAATCCTTGTTATGTTGGCTATCGAGTGGAGTGACTCTTTTTCCCATGCGTGTTCAAAATCAGGAACGGCATTGCATTCTGTTTGCAGTGTCACCACAGCAATATTTGCAAAATTACGTTTATGTTTCATTGGACATACAAAAAGTTCTCCATCGACCTCCATTGAGCTTTTTGGCAGAATAAATCTCTGTTCAATTCTGCGTAAGGGGAACGTAAAAGCAGACTGCGCACTTGTGCGCAAAATCGTCCGTGAAGCTTCATCTCCCGAGGCGTACCTACCCGTCGCTTCGTTAGCACCAGGTCGGCTCGTCAGTCTTGCAATCGCTTATCCTTATAAATGATGGTAAGAAGCTGGGTTGCGGAGTCGTGGTGGCGCCAAATCCGACTCCGACTACGACTCCGACTCCTGACTCGTTGCCATGACTCCGGCCGACTCTGTCTCCGACTCCGGACCCCTGCCAGTGTTTCGGAGTCGTGATGGAGCTGTTCCGATTCGGACCGACTCCGACTTCCACTGCGGGCTCCTGACCGACCCCGACTCCGACTCCGATTCCTGGCTCGTTGCCACGACTCTGGGCGACTCTGACTCCGACTCCGACTCTGACTCCGACTCCGCACCTCTCGTAAGAAGTAACTGCTCGCCCCTGCACCTGGAGTATGGATATCGTGCAAACGTGTATGGATATCCTGGAGTATGGATATGGATATCCACCGACAGAGCAGACATACAGACATGCTGTAAACGCCATTACACTGCCAATACCATGGCAAATCAAATGGCTATCTATGGTTTTTGATCATCGTTCTACATTTTCCAAAATCTTGAACTGAATGTTGGCAATTTCTCGTGACTACTTCACGACCATGACGCATGCATTTCTGAAATTGATCTTTTTTCAACCAGCCAGGTACTCGTATGATAAAATGAATGTCACCATCGTGTTCTACGCCCAAAAGTACGCATAAAAAATGTGTCATGCATGGGCTGCGAATAGGTACCAGTTTTAATTTTCGGGGTTATGTGCTTACCTGATTGACCTGACTTTGACCCTGGCCAGTGGCCTATGTTTGACTGACCCCTACATTGATCTGACACTCTTTTAGCACTTATATGAAGGGTTGTGACAGTTGTGACAGTTGTGACAGATTGTTTAGGACCAACTGATGACTGAATTTATTTAGGACCAACTGATGACGATATAATCGAAACGCGAAACGCGAGGCACCGATTGCGAGGTTCTAAAGTCTATGCTACTGAAAGCCCGATTTCAAGTGTTTGACCTGACTTTGACCCGACCTGTGACCTCGAAATTCAGCTTTAAAGTATTCATGTGAATCGTCTCGTCGCGTTCTTCTTTCGTTTGCCGCGCCTCGTGCGTTTCGCTGCGCCTATTTGTTCGCGAGTTATCGGCTGGGGGCGTTGAACGCCCCCCCCCCCGGCAAACGGCGGATGGGGAAATACCCAGCAACTGCCGGGTTAATCTGACGCATGTTTTGTCATTTGATCGTCATTTTGTTTCTTACTTTTTTGCCCAATCTAAAAAAAATCATAAATACTTTTTCTCCAAATTTTTGACCCTTTATGACCAATAGTAAGACACTGTGCGTCACTACGTTGATATTTCTCGCCCTAAAGCATAACAACAATATCCATTCAGTAATAGCAGTATTCAAAACATGTTCAAAATGCCTCGCGATATCGATAACATAACGAAAGACATAGGCGACTTATAACATACTTGCAAGGATGACGTCACACATGCGTGACGTGACGTGACCTCGTCATTTCTGAGTTATTGTATGATGCACGAAAGACACTGGTATACCTATGCAAAGTTTCATCGCAGTCGGTCTACGCATTAACAAGTTATGGGCAAAACATTTTTTCGCGTTGACCCCCGGCCATCCGTGAGGCCGTTTCCAACCATAGTGCGTCGGCGCCCTGGAAGAAACCCTCCTCGTCGCGGTCGGTGATGCCCAGCCAGACGTCCTCGTGGCCTGCCAGGCCGGCCACGCAAAGACTCTGCTGACGGGAGCGCGGCACGGCCAGGTGGGCGCCCAGCAGGGAGCACTCGCGCTCCGCCTGGGCGTACTCGACGGGACGGTGGAGACGGGCGTAGCAGCGGCCGCCGCACGGGATATAGCCAGAGGGGCAACTGCAGCGCCAGAGCGGGTCCTGCCGGAGCGCAGACGGGAACTGGACATCAGATCGGTTTGGGCGTTCACTGGAGTTTGGACATTGAAATGTGGAATATTATGCTGTACGGGATAAAATGTATTCGAATAGTTCCTGACACAAGGCTACGTTAAAGAGATGGGACAGTCTGGCCATATGCTCATTGCTCATTACTCACCTTCAACCAAAATTAACTAGGCTTCTTGCCCCTTTCAATCACCGATAGGAATTTTGAAATCGAACAGCATCTGTCGGCTCCATGGTATCTCCCAGACCCCTGCACACACTAAATGTATTACAATCTCATCACTAAGCTCTTGTGCAACACTCACTCACCACTCACCAGGTTAGGTCTGCCGCCAGACTCGGAGAACGTTTCGGCGAACAATCTTTTCAGCGCCTTCGTCGTGCCCTCGATGATGCGCTTCTCCTGATTGGCTTCCTGAAATAGAATAACTATTTTCTATCCCTAGTTTTTTCGCCATTTTGCCTGTAAAAAATGTATTTTAACCCGGCAGGCGGTGGGCCTACCAGCCACCTTCCGCGCGGTGGGGGGGGGGGGGCATTTTTTTGCCCCCCCCCGTATCTCCGAAACTACTGGACGGATCCGGAAAATTCAAACGGCGTTCGATAGCCCTGTCAAATTTGTCGAAGGAAACCAAATTTCATTGACCTCGGGGTCACCGATGACGTCACAGGTCAGGTCAAAGACAAAATGTTTCACCGTTCACGGGGCTTCTAGGGAAAGCGCTATAACACCGAGTAAAACGCATTTTGTCGAAAATCAGCGATGAGGCGTCAGTTGTCTAGTACATATGTTGCTATTAGAGGTCACCGGTCATACCAGGTCAGGTCACAGGTCAGGTCACCAAAGGTCACCCCGGGTCACCACATGAGCCCAACTTTACTAAGGTTATGCGATGCATGTTTTATGGCCAGTTTTTCATTTCCAACTCAATGGTGTTGGTTATAAGACCATCAGGTACGGTTAAGGTCACTTTCTGGTGGAGGTCAGGTCAAGGTCAGGTCAAAAAAGGTCAAATTTCAAAGTTGATATTTTTGCATAAAATGGGTATCGAATCGATGCAGCTCGTCACGGGGAGTCTAATGGTGGTCTTTGTTTGGCGCTACGAGGTCTAGAATTGCTAAAAATTGAGTTTGAAAATTTGACGTCATCAATTTTGAACAGTTTTTTCGCTATAACTTGGCCAAAAAAAGAGGTATCGATCTCAAATTTGGTATGTAGATAGAAGGCGGTAGGGACTATCACATATATTCCGTTTTTTTCGAAATTCAAAAAACGTTTTGGATTTTTCGGCTATTATATTCGAAAAATCTATTTTTTGATTTTTGGGGGTCAAAATCCAAAAAAAATCGAAAAACCGAAATAGTAGTTTTGTAGCCCTTTTGATTCCACACCTTTTATGTCTGAAACATTTTTATGTATCTCTAAAGCTGTAGGCCTGACAACTCTTCCCGCGAAACCTTTTTTTGGGTCGAAAATGGCAAAAATGACGTCACTCTGACGTCATTAGCGGCCAACCTATCATAGCCATTGGAAAAATTTTTGGTCACCATGTGCGCTAGCTGCTCCCGGGAGGGTACTGAAAGTTTGGTGACGATCGGCGCAGCGGTTCTCGAGATATATCGAAAAAACTAAAGGGGGGGCAAAAAATTGCCCCCCCCCACCGCCTGGAAGGTTAAGTCGACAACATGGCGTCGAGAAGTTTATTCCTTAGTGGTTAGCATAAAAATGAATAAATTATAACTATAATACGGCTATGATTACGGGCCGTTTATGTGAAAATGATTTTATACTTAAAATGGTTATGCTGCTGTAGAAGCAAGACGGCGGTGGAGCCACACATATTCGTCAAATCATAAACAAGACTGAAAACAAATGGCCATATAAGTAAAAAGTAAACTATCTGACCTGCTGCTTGCTGGGGCAGTGAGCCTGCACCACCTCAGCGACGGTACTCTGCAGCTCATCCCAGAGGTTCGTCACCGGCACCGACGTGCTGCTGGCGGAATGTAGGTAGAAGAGCAGGACGGCCAGCGACCAGCACCAAGTAGATGACGCCATCGTAAGGACGGTGATACTGTACAGGGGACTGGTAGAAGGTAGCCACACGGAACTAGATGGCAGTGACACGGGGCCAGTTATGAGCGTTAGAACGGGAAGGCTGATGAGACCTGCACGGGTGCCAGCGTTATGCACTGGCTGACAGAACTCCCAAGCAATGCGCTGTTCAGATACAGAGGCTGGTGCTGAGCTTATATAAGTGTCGCAGGATGAAATGTCCCAGATGACGGGTGGTATGTACAAATATTATGATGTGCCGGTAGTCGGTTTTCCCACCCTGGAATTCCAGCGTTCGGACCTCGAGTTTACGTCACGGCAGTGCAATGTGCGCGATGACACCTAACAGTTGGCAAGGCGTATCGGAAAGACTCTTGTCTAAATCGACTTTTGACCTGTTTCTCAAGATCATGGTGGTCTATTGTGATTTGACAATACATGCACCACTTATTACCCAATTGGCATTGATGCTTTACTACGCTTAGGATGCATGATAAACAACCCATGAGAGAGGCTTCATGAGCCCTGGTGGACCTGGTATTTTTGGCTGTTGCTAGGACCGTCCATCGACCCACCACTGTCATAAAAAACGCAACTGCCGGCCGCCAGCCAAGGCCTGTCGAGGACGCCAGTCATTCGTACACGGACTACTCTGCTGTCACTCCATACCGGAGGTCAGGGCAGAGCCAGCGTCTGACCCGACCTGACCTGGCGCGTACAGGTCACAGGCAGGACAGAATCAGGCGCCTGATGTCTGCATAGACAGAGACGTCCTCATCTTACCCCGTATGACACGACCTCCGGATGCCGCCTTCGTGGCACCACACTGACCGACTTCCTCGGCCGGCGTCAGCCTCGACCGCACCGCAAAAAAACGTGCCGGTGGCCAGGAGACAAAAAACGGCAGCAAAAAAAGCTCAGCGGCCGATGTCGTCAGGCGGCGGTCAGGCACATTCGGAAGAAGCCGCGAGTCTTGTCGCTTTCGCCGATCGAGTGAATTTAGAAACGGGAATGTAGTAAGGAACACACACGCAAATCATGCGTCCCATGCATCTGATCTGCTTTGCATCCGAAATCACCACTTAAAAATGGCAAGGCATTGTCTTCAAATTTTATCGGGGTCAAAACAATGAGTACCCATGAATTAAATATTCTGTTCTAGTGACAGTTGCCTGTGAGTTCAATTACCGTGTTTCCGTTTCAAAGCAAAACAAACGTGGTCGGAGTTATGTAAGGCATTGCGAAGCTTCAGGCTTCAAGCATTATTTTATATCAATTATCAGCTAATGAACAAAAGTTGATGTTGGTGTTGCTGATGTTGATATTGTTGAAAGTTGTTGAAGAAAGTTGAAAAGTTGATCGAATGCAATATACTACATAGCTGTACCTTTACTTACAGATTACGCTAAAAACGTAGGGGAGAGCGGGGCCAGTTGAAACACGGGGTCAGATGAAACATGGGTTTATTTTCAACAGCATGCAACATATGGCGTTGCCGACACCACTGCACATCCGCGCTCGACCACTTCCTTTGTCAACGGCGTTTGGGCGGCAAACGGACGGTAATTTTGACTTGACAACCTGTTTTTGTGTTTTTGAGGGGCGTTTGGGAGAAATCGTTTTTATGAATATTTTGTGATATCTCATATACCTTTGTTTGCTGAAAGAAGAACTCCTGGCTCCGGAATAACACCTTATTTGGCCCTTCATTCAGCATGATGCCGTCCCTCCAGCTCATTTGACATGTGCTTTACGGCGCGTGCGAGATGGCGGGAGCGGATGGGGTCAATTGAAACGCTTCTCTGAGGGTCAGTTGAAACAGGGTCACAGGCCGTTTCAATGGACCCCGGTGACCTTTGCAATGGTTATTGTTCAGGGGCTGTAAACATTAAAGGAATTAGTCCACCTTTGAAATGAGCTTTTAAACTGAAATTGTAGTTTAATAGAGCTCAATTTTTGACCCCTTTTCTCCAGCCTTTTGCTTGAAAGCACACTATAGCCTGAGATATTTCTCATTTTCCTCATCCGCCCATTTTACCATAGTCTATGTACTTTATATCACCTATTATGAGGAACTTTGCACTTTTAGCTTTCCTACGACCTATTGAATGTAGCATTTGGAAAAGTAAACCGGACAAAATATCTCCTTAAGAAAGTGGCCTTAAAGAGGAAAACATCCCATTGTTAAGGATAGGTGCAATTGACCCCATGGGCTGGTTCAATTGACCCTCGCATCGGGGTCATTTGAAACGGGCGTAGAGCTGTTTTATAAGCATGCGTTTGGCAGCAAAATATGTTTGAAACATAATTTTACATGTCTTAAAATAAAGCCAAAAGAGCATATTTTTTCATGGTATTGTGCATTTTTCGATATGACAACTAGATCTCGCTGTGCATGTCAATATATAAAAAGTGGTTCAAGTGGCCCCGCTCTCCCCTATCACGGCACTTTCATATAATGCCAAAAATGAAAGCATGATACCAGGGTTTTATTAAGTACCTACCATTGCGTAAGCAGCCCCATATTGAATTATTACGTTCTGTCTCGGCAAATGGCAGGCAAAGTTCCTCAAAATACATGGTCTCGCACGCTGGACTATTCTGTTCCGTGTGTGACCCATTTCATGGAAGGAAATGGGAAAAGGGCAACCCGGAGGAGTTTTTATCGGACTTTCTCCACTGACTTTTTTCTAGGTCCCACCCCACAATCTGACATCTTTACAGTAACCTACCGTACCCGGTCTTTCATTATAAGGCAACCGACAAAAAAAAAAAAATGCTGACCGCATACAATCAGCTAGTAAAATGGTGGTCAAAGCTGCATTTTTTGGGCCGATGAGCTTTTAACGATTTCCCTTGACGCTTATGGCGACTTCGCAGACATACCTATGCTGGCCAACAAGCCCAATAAAAGGACATATTATATCGACTTTTGCCACATTCTTTGACATGTGAGGGAACACATCTTTTGCTCCAGTTTAGACGGCTGCATGTTTTATTTGTTGAATGCTTAACCAACCAATGTCCAAATACGTTTCGTCGCAACTGCTTGTCATGTCTTGTTGTATATTCGAATAAAAAAAATAGCAAACAAATACTGGCGAAGAAAACGTGAATTTCCATGACCAGAATACCAATTAGTCTAAGAAACCAAAGTGTAAACAAAAGAGTGTTTGCTTGACTATAGCCGCATTCTGTGCAAATTGTAAGCAGTTTTTGTCGTGCTCATTATGTTCATTCGTAAAACTTTTCTCTGGCTTGTGTCTGTTATGTGATATTTGTTTTAGACCGCATCGTACCGTTTCACTCTTCGCTAGCTGCTCCATTCTCAACTGTTTTGGAAGTTGCGACTCAGAGTTTAGAAAAAAAACTCTGCATAAAGAACACACTACGGTACACCACTTTATTCCGACGATATACTGATATTAAAACTGTACAAGAACATGCCAGGCTGGCGGCCGTCCGGCACTGCCTCAGCCTAAGTACTGCACACACCATGCGAGAAGCGAACGCCGAGAGCCTGACCAATACTCCGCCCCTCCTGACAGCACTATCGTCTAAGAACGTCCTCAACAAGATCCTGGTGACACATACAGCAATCCAAAAAACGAACAGAAACAGGGGCCGGCTCCCCGGGACTGGGCTTTCCCAGCGATCAACACTCATCGAATCCCTGAAGTGACCGACTTCTGCGGCCGTACGAACCTACCACTGATCATAGGTCCGCCCAGTTATATACAAAGGGCTACGTCCCTCGCAGTCCCTGACCCCCAGCGCTCTCGTTCAATCACAACACACCGCTTGGCGCCCTCGACCAATCACAGCGTACCGTCTGTTGCCCTTGACCAATCACAGCGCCGATCACATGACCTTGACCGGCCGGGCGGCGCGCGGCATCGCCCGGCCGGTAGGCGTCGCCTCTCCCTTAGACAGCGTTACACACTGTTTTATCACCGCTGGCCGGTATCGGGCCGTCTCACACACAGCCCCAGGCCACTCACAGGGCGCCGCGACCGGTCAGTGCCAACACCTGCCCGGCGCGAGCCCACGCCATCCAGCGTCCTGCCAGTTCACCTCAGCGAGAGCACATCGTTCAATTATAATACAGCAAAGTACAACGAGACCAACACTGGCGCATCTAAAACACAGAGTCAGATTTAAGCCGCTGTGTTTGAGAGTCAATATGGTATCTCTGCCTGTCGCTTCATCACGTCTAAATACAACGAGCAATAACACTGAACAGCGGCACAAGACGGGCACAACACAGGGATGGCAGCAGCACCGACCCGGGGTGCTGATTCGACCCATGCCGCACCCATCCCCGCCCCTCATGTGCCTGGTCTGTAACTACTAACTACCCTGTTTGTCTGATTGCCCTGGGGTCAGTGGATGATTGCCACATGCGGATGCAGACGCCCGTCTGTCGGATCTACGTGTACCGCAAACAGCGACGGGGAGATGCGTCTCGGATGAAAGAGACGCGATAAAACCGCCCAGAGTCCAGCAGCGTGGCTCACGTATGCAGAGATCAAACTACGATGACCTGGGATTTTAATGAGGTAGCCATTTCAGAACCTGAGTTGGGGTACTTATTGTCAACATAATATTAGATTTAACGTCACGGCCCATTTTTACTGATAATCCTGTCTTTAAACATCATTTGAAGACCCACCTTGAATAATAATGAAGCAGAAAAAATACTGCAAACAAAATTCAAGCCTATCTGACGAGAACCAGAGTTTCCTGAGAGCCATAAAGTGGTGCAGGTACATACACATTCTTAGCTATTCTTATCATAAAATGATATCGATGAATTAACCTCCGGAGCTCAGCTGCAAAACGGACTTGAGTTGAATTGAATATTCCTTCTCGAAGGACTTGCCACTAGAATTAGCAGAATTAGAGCTATTGCAGTAAATACATAATTATTTACCGGGAGTGCTGCTTAGTTATAAGCATTTCTATGCATTTAACAATGGTGAACTTGGTTTGTCTTGAGGTCCTCTTAGATAAAAGCGGAAAACGGCAAAATAGCCATTAACTTCAACAATAAAAGATACAGAAAGGTACACTTTTCCCTGAGCGTTACAAAATTGCCATATTGGGTCGGCGACATACGCGGACACTACAGACTAAACGAGAGCTTTCATAATAAAGCCGAATAAATGCTATGGTAGGGATTGCAGCTCAATACGCTTAAGCGTTTTGGTGCTATTCAGAGTTACGCAATGGTAGTACATTGTCAGTGTTGATGTCTTATTCGAAATTAAACATATCTTGATACGTAATTCAAGATGTGAATAAAAGTTATGAGTTATCGTGTTACCTTAAAATAATAATTCCGCTCTCTCAAACGTGTACAGCTGATTGGTTATTTCAAACAAGAAGAAACTTATGAATAACAATTACGTTTAGGTTCAAAACCGCCTACGTCAATCACTCTCGTGGTTCAGAACCACAACGAAAGCGTAAATCACAAGGTTGTCTCGTGTCATGCTTCGCATGTCACGTGAAAAACTAAACGCAACTGAAACCGTGATTTCTAACCACAGATGGCATATAACGAGCGTGCTAAGAGAACGCACGTAATGCTTTCACGGTCGACCGTAGGTACTGCAGTAGAAGATAAGTTCCTCTACGGACCAGCAAGGGCGTCAGCCTCAGCAGAACACAAACACTTTTCGCGTCTACGGGATGAACGTCAGCTTATCTGTGTCGCCAACAGGTGGCAGCACCGTCTCACTGCTGGTCGTGCGGCGGCTGCGGCTTGTCCCGGAGCTGGCCCAGCAGGTCGTTGCCGATGGCGCCGCTGCGCTGCTGCGCGTAGCTGCTGATCTGGTGGAGTGAGATGAAGCCGGCGGCGTTGCCGGCCGGTTTCACGTCCTTGCCGAGACCCGAGTGGTCGTAGAAGTAGCGCGGCGCGGCCGGCGGCGGCGCCAGCGGCAGCGGCGCGCTGCTCACGGGCGCCCCGCTCTGGATCGGTGTGAACGCCGAGGAGGCGGTGACGGCGGCGCGCGAGAGCGGCTCGTAGCCGGCGCCCGGCGGCGGCTGGCCCAGGTGGTGCTCCTGCCGCTCGTCCAGCAGGACGCGGTGCTCGAGTGTCTCCCGGAGTCCGGCCGAGGGGTGCAGGCGCGGGTCGTCCAGTCCGTCAGCGCGGGACAGGTGCAGGGGTGCCTGCAGCCCGCCGCCGGCAGCCGCCCCGTTCACCAGGTAATCGTCTTTGGGCCAGTAGGGGTTTTCCAGCCTCTGCTGCTGCTGCTGCTGCCGCTGCTGCTCTTGCTGCTGCTGCTGCTGTTGCTGCTGCTGCTGGTGGTGATGCTGCTGCTGCTGATGATGATGCTGAGGTGGCGGCGGCGGCAGTCCAACAGGCGCCGAGACCCGCTTATCATTCCTATCTGCGTGTTTCTGCATGTGTTTCTGCAGGTAGGTCTCCTGCGTGTAGCTCTTGCCGCAGTACGGGCAGATCTGCGTCTTGAGGTGCTTCGACTCTTTGTGCTTGGGGATGTGCTCTAGCAGGCTGGCCTCGTCGGTGAAGCACTTGTAGCACGAGTTGCACTTGTAGGGCTTGTCGGTCTGGTGGCAGCGTGAGTGGCTCTGCAGGTTGGAGAGCTGCGAGAACGCCTTGGAGCAGCCCGGGTGGCGGCACTTGTACGGCTTGTCGCCCGTGTGAGTGCGGATGTGCTGCTGGAGGTGCGACAGCTGCGTGAACTTGCGCTGGCAGATCTCACAGCGGTACGGCTTGATGCCCAGGTGGATGCGCGTGTGCTGCGACAGGTAGGAGCTGTTGGCGAACGCCTTGCTGCACTGACTGCACTTGTACGGCTTGGCCTCCCGCATGTGCAGCTGCACGTGCATCTGGAGGTCGGCCTTGGAGGCGAACATCTGCCGGCAGACGGAGAAGGGGGTCAGAGGTCAGAGGTCAGCCAGCTCCGGCAAGAATTCAGCGCGGTCAGCGATCCCAAGTTCAGCGTAGGTACTTTTATATTTTCGAAACAGAGCTGGCCACAATATAAAATCGGAATGCTAAGATATGCAAACAAGTTTTCTGCGCTATGTTTCAAGATCTGTAAAGGCTACATTCTAGGCAACGATTAAATGAATCGAAAATGATTTATAGTCAGCGCCGCTCATGAGAATGGTATGGACGACCGACAGACGACAGATGTGTGCGGGATCCGGCGAAAGGGGTAGTGATACCAATCACCAGACCAGACAGACAAGGTCACCACCGCGCCGGTCGGCCGAGCGTGACGCTGAACCCGCCGATCGGTCCGTGACCGGTCCGGTCGTCACGCGGCGTCACTCGCAGCCGGGAGGGTGGCGCGATGCTGCCACTGTGCTGATGGGTCACCAACTCGGCACATACGTGGCATACTTAGTCACCAGTGAGTGCTCAGACCCATCTGGATAGATATGAAATTGCAAAAAGGACCAACGAACTTGTTGTTTTATGCATGCTTTTGTCAGACCCGACAATTCATAAAATATTGTGCAAGAAAGCTTCGGCGACGACACATCGCTGCGTCAGCATCAGTGATGAGTCCGTAACGGTGACTCGGACTCATCCCAGAGTCCCGCTCCGCCGGTGAGGCCGAAGGTCACCGGCTGTCTAGACGGTCCCCGGGGTCGGACGCCCGCCTTCCGGTCCGCGTGGGAATCTCTATCTATATCGGACCAATCGTGGGTCTGTCTGGCGATCCATTCATTTCGCCCGGGGCGAGATATAGGGAACGTCTGCCTGGATAAAACTTGGCACATCATTCAACGACTATAGCCAGCTTAGTGATCCACCAGGACCATGAGTTACTCTCGTCGGCAGCTTTCTCAATGGCCAGCCACCGACTGCTGGTGCCACGTGCCACGCCCGACGGCCGACGGCCGACGACTGGCACAGCGACAAAGGAGGCTCCTCCGCCGCCGGCGCCGCCGCCGCCGCCGCCGCCGCCGCCGGTATTGACCGTGGCTCCCCTCCGCTAGCCGTCTCAGGGTCGGCCGGCGGCCCGCTGAGGTCGCTGGCCCAGTGGAACAGTAGACGGACCGGTGGCTGACCGGTCGGATTGACGGACAGATAAACAAACGGACAGACGGATAGACGGCATACGAACAGGCGGAGACACGGACAGATGGGCAGACGGATAGACAGACGGACAGGAGGAGAAACAGATAGATGGACAGGCGGAGAAATACATAGACAGAGATAGACGGACAGGCGACAGACGGATAGGCGGAGGAACAGCTAGACGAACAGACGGTCAGACGGTCAGACGGACAGACGAACAGACAGACGGGCGGGGAAACTGGCAGACGGACAGACTGGGAGTTTAGACGGTCGGTCAGGTCAGCCGGTGGCAGTCAGTAGGTCGGTCGGTTGGACGAACTGACGGACAAGCATGAAATGGTCATCACATTTCTCGTGAATGTGAATACAAGATCACATGAAAAAAGACTTCTTGTCTACGGTTGAAGCGGACCCTTTTATGTACTACATACAGCGGGGCATAGGCGGCCAAAGTGGGCCCTTGTGTGCTGTGTCTTGTGGACCATGAACAAATGTCTCGCATCCGCCCGTCGCTTTGTGCTATCCTGATGCGATGCATGGCCTTGTTGGACAATTATCCGGCTCTGTGTTCAACAATGCTGTAATCAGTTTCCACTTACAGGCCTGCATAAACGACGTGATGTATCTGAGTGCATCCCTAGTTATTGGCACGGGTGTGGATATGCAAATTATGCATATTTTGGGATGAGCATTGACAATTGTTTTAGATAGGTATCAGTGGACTTTTTCGTATAGGAAGCGCAGATGTCGATATGTTGCTGTCGTTTGTTTTTAGTTCGGTAGGTGCACTAAAAATCCTCTGTGCGCCGGGTCAGACTGCCTTGGGCCACACTCCCGGTCAGACTGAGCCTGTATCTCTCCACTCCACAGTCCTCCCACATATACCAGACGTGACCTTCCCACCCGCCGGCCTGCCAGACACCCGGTCACCGACCCCCCCCCCCCCCCCCGCCCTCCCCCTCCGGGTGTCTGGGTCGCCGACTGGCCGTCTGATCATCGCCACCGCTCCGCCGCCGCTGCCGCGCCCTTATATATCGTCATGGTAACGGCATGCCGACGCGGCCGACGCCACGCAGCGCGGCGCCGCAGTTCGCGCACAATTAGCGTGTGTGACGTCACCTCGTCGCGCCGTCTGGCGACCTTGGGCGGCTGTCTGGTCTGGTGGCGGGGGCGGGGGCGGCGGCGGCGGCGGCGGGCGCTACCGACACCGGACGCCACACCGGTCGGCCGCCGCAGACCATATGACCCCGGCTTACCTACCCAGCCTCGCCGCCGCCGGCATACGGACAATATGACCTCAGTGTACCCGGGTCCGGCCCCAGCCGCCGCCGCCGCCGCCGTCGGTGGGTTATGTGAGTCTGGTGGCAGCCGGCCGGCGGTTGAGGCAGGCCGGCGGCCGACCCCGCTCAGGCGCAGGCGCATCGACGATGTTGTAAGTACCATTCGGCTCGATAGGCGATAGCTCAGCGCATCGTTTGGCGGCGTGGGCGTTATATATGACGGTGTGTGTTCTGCACGACGCAGAGTCCGATGTAGTAAGCACGTGCTGCTACAACATCTTCAGCAGGACGGAAAGACTGAGACATGGCAACAGACGACTTATGAGAGACAACACTGACGATAAACGAAACTTGCCGCTCAAGTCCGCCGGCTGCTGAGGGTAATCGCCTACTATATCATCAGGAAGACGATAAACGGAGAAGAGACACGATAGAGGAGACTGGAGAGACGAGAGACGACAGACGGAATCCATTCGCGCTGTCGACCGACGCTCTCACCATGCCCCCAGCAACAGCCACGGCCGTCGCGCCGGTATCCGAGCCGTCGGCTGTGGCCGGAGAGAGCGCAGAGCTCTCCGCTCCTCCCCTCTACCCTCGCCCACGACAGATCACAGACTAATGATACCCCAGACATGCTGGGTCGACGAGTCGACGCCGCTGGTACATCGTCGGCGAGCAAGGAGCGTCGACACCGGCGCGAGAGCGACCGAACCAGGCCAGACGCAGCGGTAAGTCCTGGTGCGACGACAGAGACTGAGTCGGCGACAGGAGAAGCACGGCGGTCAATGTCATACATGCATCGCTGTTGCACTTTGCAGTCTGCAGCCTACCACTCAACAGTCTACCGCCCTCTCTCGTTTCCACTGAGCGGTTCCCGTTTTCGACCGTCACCACTTCTCTCTGCCGTTGGCCGTTACGGCTCTCGAGCGGTCAGGGTCAGTGTCGTCCGAGCGGTGCCGTATCGATCTCTCCCCGCCCCCCCCCCCTCCCACGCCGTCGGCCGCGTGCTCCCTGACCTAGCAACGCCCTTCGCCCCCCCCCCCTCCCTGCGGAGAGTCACAGCTGCCCGGCTGGGCACGCCGTGAGCCGGGCGGGCGATACGCCTCAACCTCCGCGGTAGCGGCGCGCCGGACCTGGGTCAACATCGGCGAGGTTGAGACGCGCCGCCGCTGCCGCCGCCGCCGGGCCCAGCTCAGCCTAACAGTGCCGGATGGAAATGGTGCGGACGGGGTGCCAGAATGTGGGCTGGTCCCTAGAAGTCTGGATGAGTGCGTATGACTCTTGCACAAAGCCCCTTCCGTCGCTTACTTGTGAGGATAATTAGGTACTTGTCTTGGGTCACCTAAAAACCAGCACCGGGAAAAACTACATGGACCATCCCTTCTTTTTGCTGTGGGGCAAAACGCACAGTTGCATAGCTCGCCCTGTTTTTATCAAATAGCAAAACAGGCATTTGGTTCATGGTGTTCCTAATTTTCGCCATGAATAAAGGTTTGCTAGAGAGATTAATTCAAAAGTCAAATGCATGAAATACAATTTTTGAAACTCATGTTGAAAACATAATCGTAAATGTGTTGATAAGCACGATGTCGATGCGGTAAGTCGTTTATCGGCAATTATAAATTGGAGCCAACGGTATTGGATCAATTGTTAAAGGTATTATCAGGGTTTTTTCCGAAATTTCGAAGTTACTCAGTGAAACGTGTAGAAGAAGGTGGCTGAGGCCCCAATCCGAAGTCATTCGTCTCAAAATTGCCTAATTTCCAAATGGTGGGCCTCCAAAGTTGATCCGTCTGCCAGCCAGTACCTGGAGGAGGCAGTACCAAGTACTCGGATACATTTCCCTATAAGTCCATAGGCTTAACACTAGCTAGAGACTTCTAGAGATATTTTTTATGCCAGATAAGGCCGTCGCATACCAGATAAGGCCGCAACGGCCGTTCAACGTTACGTGGGGAAATGGGAGAAATCTAAAGACTTTTTTTCTCTGACGTCTCCACTCCAATATCTCTAGCGCAACTGGCAAGCGTTGTTAGCATTGGCTCGTGTCGTCGTAAATAAGATTTGTTTGACGTATATTCCGTAAGTTGAGTGTGTTGTTGTAATTTCTGAGGCTGTATGAGTTGGACGGAATGGCGCCATCCCGCCATGTGCGAAATCTGTGCGAAACAAAGCTGTTCCTATTCATATTTGAATGTTCAAGACTTGTGGGCTTTGTAGCCAGTGCGTGTAGCTTCTAGATATCCTGTGGGTTATCAAAATAATTAAAAAATTATGTTGTGTGCTTTCAAACTAAGCTCATCCCGAGTGTAATTCAAGAATGTCTTAGTTCAAGCAATTTAACTTGAAAGTGATATAGCTCCAGCAATGAAGAAGCTTGGATGGAACGTTGAATCAAAGTTACCTATCATTTGTAATGCAAATGTTAATGCTAAGTGCTGAACGTTACCAATAATTCGAGACATCCGTTGTAAGATGTATGACGCAGATCAACTTTGATCAAGTGAAGAAAATAGATTTCAGATGAAATAATGTCAATGTTCAAGGCTGAGCGACTGGCAGATTTCGGAGTGAGCACAAGTGGCCTTGAGACATTCTGTTTCTGTAGGTACTCAAAATAAATAAATTATCATGTTGTGTGCTTTGAGGTTAAGTGTTATCAGTGGTGCTTCATGGTTGTGCTTTGTTGTTGGTGTATGGGCATATTTTGAGCACATTGCAGCATGATATTGGTGGTGTGGTGTAAAGCAACTGATCTCCGCAGACTTTGCACTTACTTGCAAAGCCTGCGGACTGACTTTGCAGACTGGCTGACAATGAGCAATGCATTGCTGACTGATATCATTTATTCTGTGTTTGTAGCACAAAGTACAGAAGTGGCACATACATTGTTACTTTGAAAACCTGATGTGAATTTGATGGTGGCTGACGTTGAGTCCTTACGTATTGTGAGTAGTGTACAGCTGGTGCATTGAGCACAGACTTGAGACCAGTGACGTTTGTATCAGTAGACTGTGTTTGAGTCTACTTATATGGGTAGTCATAAAGCAGGCGTCACACTTCTTTTTGCAACCAAGGAGAAGCGCTATACCCAGAGTTGCTTTGTCATCCAACCTTACCCAACCAAACCTAACCTTACCTACAACCTAACCTACAGCGCCTCTCTTCGTTCGTTCATGGTTGCAAAAAAAAAACAAGTGTGACGCCTGCTATACTACTACCCTTATATGGCCTTGGTTTGAGTCATGAGTGTGGTGACCGAGTAAGCTGGTGTGTATAGCCATGCAATAAGTGTTTTGAAATATATTTTTGGGACAGTATTGAAATGGTGTGTTTTGGCCATCTGGCATGGATGATGGAAAGCCACTAACTCAACTTTAGGAACGCTTCTTCATTATGCTCATCTAAGGCACAATTATCTATTTTCTCTTCGCAAGGATTGATTACTAATTCACTGTCAATTATAACCTGGTCCAGAAGGTTTCGCTGGGCCACACGGTTCATACAGATTCATCCACAGTGCTCAGCAGTGCATGTTTTCAGATTTCAACAGACTGTAATTGTTTCTGTATGTACATATGCATCATGCAAGGGTACAACAGATGCGGTATTTGGTAAGCAGTTGGCAGCAAGGTGGTGTTTGTACTTATTGGCAGACCAGTTGAGCAGGACTAAAACTATCCTAGTTTCTCTCCAATTTACTCAGATCCGTCTCAACACATTGAACATATTGAAAGCGTCCATCCATGAAGATGTCTGCATGTATACTCATTTCCGAGAAGGCACGCTCGTCGCTCATCCATTGCCGAGCAGGCACGTGCGTGCCCATCGCCGGCGCGCATTAGCGCGCGTCCATGGCTGGGGCGCACGCGCGCGGCCATGGCCGGCATGCACGCGCGCGCGCCCATCGTCGGCACGCAAGCGCGCGCGCGTCCATAGCCGGCGCGCGCGCCGCGTCCTTACCCGGCGAGAACGCCGCGTCCGTACCCGGCGCGCACCCGCGCGCGTCCACAGCCGGCACTGACAGACCCTGACCGACGGGCGTGCTGCCGTCGGCGGTCCTGACAGATGGGCGGCGGGCCCGGCTCCCGCAGCTCCGGCAGCGGGCGGCAGCCATGGTCGGCATACACGCGCGCGCGCCCATCGTCGGCACGCAAGCGCGCGCGCGTCCATAGCCGGCGCGCACCCGTACCTGGCGCGCACTCGCGCGCGTCCGTACCCGGCCCGCACCCGCGCGCGTCCACTGCCGGCACTGACAGACCCTGACAGACGGGCGTGCTGCCGTCGGCGGTCCTGACAGATGGGCGGCGGGCCCGGCTCCCGCAGCTCCGGCAGCGGGCGGCAGCTCCGGTGACTGTTCCGGCAGCTCCGGCAGCGAGCGGCGTCTCCGGCAGTGCTCAGCAGCGGCGCCAAGCAGCAGCAGCGGCTGAGCCAACAGGCGGCCGCGGAGGCACGCCCCCCCGCCCCCCCCTTTGCACATTGTTCGTCCATGGAGATGTCTGCAAGCACGACCATTGTTGAGAAGGCACGTGCATCCATGGCTGAGCACTGAGCAGGCACGTGCGACCCCTTTGCACATTGTTCATCCATACATATCAATATAATTTACCTTATTGATTAGTGTGAGTCTTGCAAAATCTTAAACTCAGAAATACCACAAGGCAGGCTGCCTGGGTGAGTTGCTAATATGAACATAATGAACATTATACATTAGTGCAGTACCTATAAGTATCCATGCTGTGTGAAGGACTTGGCCCTCACGTTCATTCGTTTGGTGATTGCACATGGTGGCATGTGTACCAATTGTTCTCCCTAACCCTTCTTACAACTTTGACTAGCAAGTAGAAGCTGGCAAAATGCAAGGAGCTTACAAAGCATGCTTATATGTAGATAACTGAGGATGATTCTCTCAATTGAAGCATGATCCACACTCAGCAGCTTCTTCTGTTCTGTTCCACAAACTAAAACTGAAATGACTCAATTTTCCTCAAAATATATTCATTTATCACTCATAAACAACAAAAATATACATTAAGTAGGTACCAGGGCAATAAAAAACATACAACTTACATATTTTTTTTCAAGTACAGTCCTTTCACAGCAACAATATGTAGAAACGCACCAAGACGTTCACGGAGAGCCCACCCATAACAAACTATAGTTGAAGCCGGGGCTCTGCTGCAGCAGCAGGGGTGACGTACAGGGCACAGAGGTCATGTCACATCATGTTGTACAACCTGTTGTTCGAAAAAACAGATCAACATTGATTTTGAAAAACTGTAGCGCTTTCTTCAGTCACTTAGGTAAGCTTTCTCGCAAGACGTTACATTAGATTCACCACTCTTGACAAAATAATCAGATTGAAGCTTAGCTCTTGTGCCTGATGCACTTACATTTCAATTTATTGAAATAAAACACTCAAATTTACCCTTGAAAATTGTTGACATTTAAATGATATTAACATCAATGTTTTGATGATCAGCAAACAAGCTATTCAAATCACACCCATATAATAATTTTGGCAATGTTGATAACTCTTGCTGTCTTATTGAAAAGCAAATCTTCAATTTGTTCATATCCAAATCCAATGCCAAGCACTGAAATCTTGTTGCAAGGCCCTAAAAACAACAGACAAAAACAAAACAGTCTTGTGGAAATCGCCAGTGCGGTGCGGCGGCCTTGGCGAAATTTCCCCAGGCTGCTCTTTGTTTACATTTTAGCGATGGGCCAACTTGGCCGCCCAAGTACTTGTTTTGCGTGAGTAAGTACAATTTTGTCAATTTTGAAACGGCTATATCTCGCAAATTTTGGTACCGATTTACATTTTATGCATATCTTTAGAATCGGCAGAGTCTGGGGAGTTCATTGATTGGAAATTTATGCCGATTCCTTTCAATTTTTAAACCCTGATAATCCCTTTAATTGGCTGTGGTTGCTTCGATTGCTCCAAGTACGTACCGTATTAGGTTCTTACCATCCCCCGTCAGTTCGCTCGCTTTTGCGTGAAAAGATGGATATTTGTATCCAAAATTGCACTCGCTTATGTTTTATCGGTGTGCAGACACTAGACAGCTTATGTAATATTTTAGTTTTCTATGCTAAAATTCGTAAGCTATCTATTACACCATGATAAATTAAATGTCGATTTAAATATCCGCTTTCGACAGGAACATTAATCAAGCGTTCCCACGTGAAGCACCAGAACGTCCCATTTTTATCGACCATCTGTTCAACGTCCTCGGCCTCATACATAGTTCCCATGGGTTCCAATCACCCTGCAGTATCCGGACTGATATCGTCTCACCATCGCGACTTGCCAACTAGCGAGCTATCGCTCCCTCCCTCATCGGCGAGCGAGCGGGCCCGTTTGTGGAAGAATGGATCTCCCCAGCTGGGCAGGTGGCCGGACAGCCTGGGTGCCAGAGAGCTGAATCGAGCCCTCCGACGGCACCGGCGTTCTATCGTTCAGCTCAACAAGTGTGTCGGGGGTGAAGGGGGAGAACGCACGCCATCAGCCGGCCCTCAGCGACCGCTTCAGTTCCACGTGTCCTTCTCCTTCCACCGGCTGTACGGCACGTGGAGCCACCCGCCTGCCGGGCGGACGTTCGAGTCGTAGGATAAATAGTGCCACTTGAGGTAAAGTGATTGGTATGATTTTTTTATCTATGCACGCTCACCATGCCGTCTGGACACTGGATCCACAGTCATAGACAACGAACGATGTGATTCGAATCCCATTGGAATCTGAGCCAATACATGGGAAGACTATCGCATCAGTGCCGACTTATCAGAATTTATTGCGCATCATGTTCTCACGTGCTGAGATCATCCTTACATTTCTCTACTGAACCCTAAGCAAACTCAACTGGACTCCGAATCCAACAGACCTAGTAGCCACTGGCCACTGGACTCCCTTAGATTTCGTTTCAGTTTGGTTCCAATAAACTCAATTGGACATCGAGAGAGCTCCACTGGCGTTATACCTCAACTACAACTAGGTTCCCTAGGATGCCCTCGGACGCTGTTGGACTCCGACCAGTCCACTGACTTATGGACTCGCTCTCAGCTCATCCAACCACCACCGCGCGACTGTCTGCGGCCGACACACCTACCTTCTCAGCGTGCTGAGTCGACTCGGCCGGAGTCGGGGGTCCGGAGTCGGGGCGACTCGGCGGCCGCGAGACTGACTCATAGCTGGGCGGTGGGGAGTGGCCGGGGGAACGGTGCGTCCCCGAGCCGGGCGACGGGCCCGGTCGGCGCTCCGGCTCCCCCAGCAGCTCGTACTGCCGCCGCTCGTCAGAGAAAGCACGGCCGTCACCGGAGTAGTGCCGCGAGTCACCAGAGTAGTGCCGCGAGTCACCAGAGTAGTGTCTCGAGTCACCCGAGTAATGTCTCGAGTCTGCGGAGTAGTGTCTCGGCTCGCCGCCGCCGGAGAAGCTGCGTTGCCTGTCCAGTTCTCTGCTCTGTCCGTCCGCCGGCGGCTGGCCCTCGGCTGCAGTGTAGTCCCTGAGCACCGGCTGAGGATAGTCTCTGAGCACCGCCTGGTAGTCGCGTGAGCCGCTCTCCTGGACCGCCGGCTGGCCGGGGCTGAAGGCCCGCTGCGGGTTGTCGCTCCGCTCACCGGCACACGGGGGCGGCTGGTAGCCGCTGCTGTAGTCGGCCTGAACCATCTCCATGGGTCACACTGGATCCTCGAGCTCCGAGCAGGGGTCGACGTTCACTGCATCACTGACCGCTCTCCGCCGCCACGCCGGCCGACGCACCGCCCGCCCGCTCCGACCCGACGCTGCAACTGAGCCGACAAAAAAACGGCACCGCCACCGCCCGGCCCCAGCAGACGACGAAAAAACGACGGTAAAAAATCGATCACGTGACGCGCTCAGGGTGGGGACTGCGACCTCCACCGCCGCCTAGCGGGCCGATGGTGAACCAAGCTCAGCCGCCGCCAGCGTTACCGACTGGGGCACCGGTGACGGCGGACCGACCGGCGCGGCGGCGCGCTCCGTCAGGGCCAGAGGAAGCGCGCCGTGAAAGGGTTGGCCGGTGCCGGCGGCGGCGCGTCGCTCTGCTGGTCCAGTTTCAGCCTTTCCCCTCTCCCGGCGGTGGCTGACACAAAACCGGCAGCCTTGGGCGGCCGGCCACGTGCAGCTGATGGGACAAAGGTTTAAAGGGGCGCAGCGTCCGGCGCAGATAGGGTTACCGGTGCCACTTGGCAGCGTTTGGCAGCTCGAATGGGAGGAACGTCAGACGCATCGGCTCCCAGCTGAGACAGCCGCCTGACGGAGAGCGACTACAGCGCTCTAACCGAGTCAGCTGACAGCCCTGCGGAGGACTAGAGCTCGAGCTCTTCGTGCCTGAGACAGTAGTTTGCACAAATATGTTAGGAACCGGAGGTTCCGACTGTAGGTAACACACTCCGTCCAGTGGAACCTCAGAACTGCCCATAGTTACTCGTACTTCGAGACACGATTCGAGAGCTGCCTGCAGAGGGCCACCGCTGCTGCCCAGCTGTGCCTTTGCCATACCGAACGCAGTTGGCGGAACGCGACCATCGTAACCCTGACATTGACACACTGCCTGAACGTCGGTGTCAGACACCAAATGTGTCACCATTCCATTGGCTCACGTGTAATTGCTTGTTTAGATTTTTTGTTGACTGTGGTGCACAAAAAATGCCAGCCGGCTAGACAGTGTTTTTGTGCGTGTGTGTGGCCGTGGCCGGGTGACCTTCCACAGACCGCCGTCTAGACTGCCGCCCGTCGGCCGGTCAGACGGCTGCTGTCTAGACAGTGTCTATAGTCAGACAGCAGGTCAGACGGCCGCGGGCAGTCGGCGGGGCCGTCCCCGCGCCGCCGCCGCCGGCGCAGGTCGGGGGACGGTCACACGCCGGACCGGATACGGACAGACGACTCACGGAGCCGAGTCGGACAGAATAGGACATAACATAGAACTGAGTTAAACAGAGGGGAGGCTAGCAGAGGGCTATTTCGGGCGGGCGGGAGACTGACAGAGAGCTGCGTCGGAGTGATGGGGACAACGGCGGCGCTCCCGATGCACCCAAAGGCTAGAGTTGGCACTGTGTGATCTAAGCAGACACCGTTATAATTTAAACGAAAATCTAATGTATTTTTTTCTAAGTGAGGCACTAACGTTATTTAAATACGGGACACTGAGAGAAATATTCGCAATGGCCGATGCTCCTCAAAATGAGTCAATGCTTAGTTATTTGAACATATTTTCATATCGTTCTTTAACCCTCGCACGACCAGGCCATTTCTCATAACACGAACGACCAGGGGGGGGGGGTTGTTACGACCCCCCCCCTGGCGTTTCGAAACGGAAGGTCGTAGAGCTTAGCGGAAAAAAACCAACGGATTGCTATCAACGAGATCTCGCGATTGGTGGTATATTTTTTGGTCCTAGGTCAACATTTGACCTACTTATGACCGGTCAAAGGTCAAATTTTCCGAAAAAATCAAACTTTTTCAACTTTCCGCGGCGATTGCGGCAAAACGGTGGAAGATATCGACTTGAAACCTTCACTATCGTGTTCCTTGATCAATTCTCTATCGTTTGGTATGTATTTCGTTTCCCTAGCTCTAAAAATGGCGCGTTGGGAGCGCCGGAAGTCGGCAAGGTCACAGTCGGCGGCAGAAATTCGAAAAATCAAAATTTAAATTTTTGAAATCTGATTGTATTTTTGGATTTGGGAGGTCCATTTGCTCTCTATAGAAGCTAATATTGCTGCATATTCCCATTGAGGTGACAAGAATTATCAAAATAGTGGTTCGGGCGCTTTTCAAAAATAGTACCGGACGCTGTTCCTCTTGTGACGTCATAGCTCCGTGACCTGACCTGACCCGGTCAATTTTCTTGCACCACACGATAGCCAATGCTTGCCCCAACATGCATGGGAAGTTTCATCATGATCCATCAAACAATGTGGGTATCACCGGCAGAAAACCTAGGGATTCGGCGCACACGTTTGGTAACTGTCGGCCGGAGGCTGTACCTCTTATGACGTCATAACTCCGTGACCTGACATGACCCGATCAAGTTTTTTCGGCAAAAGATGCGCAAAGGTTGCCCCAGAGGGTATTGAAAATTTCAGCCCGCTACGACAAGCCGTTTAGCGTGCACTTCGAAAAAACCTCAGGGGGGGGTTGATACAACCCCCCCCCCCTAGGCGTTCTAGGGTTAATGGCCTCTGCTGAGGCAGCCAATACAAGTGATTTTAGTCTTTTAAGTACCTGTTAAATACTGCATATATCGATGTATATAGATACTAGATACTTATAGCATGCCCCCCGTACCGTGACCCTGACCTTCACCCTGACCTCCGGGCCTCAGCAAGCGACTGGGTCATTGATCTCCGATAAAAACTGGCACAAGAAGGTCTGCAAAAACGGTTACCGGGGCTGCGCTGACTTTGTTGCTGAATGTTGTCCTTTTTGTGATCATTTTTGCTGCACTTTTTCAGGCAGCCAAACCATAAAACGTTGGCCTCTGGCGATAAAAACGTAAAGGCCTTGCGGATACAATTAAGGTTCATTGTGGGTGTCCATAACCCTCGCGGGCCCGGGGGGGGGGGGGGGGGCGTTTTTCGCCCCCCCTGGCGAATATTTGCGATAGCTCCCGAACGCTTAGGGATAGGAAAGCGAAACTTTCAGTACCTTTTCTCCCATCAATTTGACATCTTCTGAAGTAAAAAATTTGGACCTAGCGCCATTGATGACGTCACAAGGTCCATTTTTCTAGACCCCTGCACGGCAAATTTCGGCGTCACAGACGCAAACTTCAAATAGCTGCTAAAAATAGAGTTTTAGAGATAAAGACAAATTACGAGCACGGTTGTGTAGCGCTTGACCTAGAGAAAAATAGAAAAATAGTTTTGGTGACCTGAGGTCAGAGGTCAGGTCAGCGACCCCGAAATGTGGTTTTAGTTTTTCGCAAATAACTTCGACAAAAACGGTCCTAGAGCTACGGCAATGGTACCATCGCATTCGCCTTGTCAAGCCGCGTCGAATGATGTATATTTTGTTCGGAAAAGGTCAAGTTTTATGTTGACCTCATGTGACCTCGAATGACCTCTGGTTGACCTTGACACATGAGAGGTCATTTATGATGGATGTTTACCCGCTGATCACGAATCTGGCATCTATTTTCCTCTAAGCCTTCATTTAGAGCTTCTGGACGGCAAAATTGTCTTATTTATTATTACTAACTTGAATCAGTGAAATAGCCTCTAGCAGGGATACTCTTCTGTGACCTTGACCTTTGAGCAGCCTTGTATCGTAGGATGAACCACAAATAGGGAACTGATAAGCCTCAAAACATTTCAAAACATCTTGGAAGCTAGCACGCAAGATGTGCGAAAAAGTGCCAAGTTTGAGGTCAATTTTTAGCGTGACCTTGACCTTGACCTTTAATTTTAGGCACATTTTCGGAATCCTCAGATTCTCTTCTTTCGTTTGACACCCAATTTTGCCGGTTTGATGCAGCCTGCCGTCCTTTAGAAGGCTTACTTTGAGATCACTACACATGTGCCGGTTTTTGCCTTTGACCTTGACCTCTGACCTTGAAAATTGACCTGAGGTCAAAAATTTTAGGTGCTTTAGAATCGTCTCGTAAGGACCTTTCGTTTGGTATCGCTTTTGTTTCCGTAGCTCCCTTATTTACGGAGTTAGACAGGGGGGGGGGGCGAAAAACGCCCCCCCCCGGGCTGCGGTGGTTGGGATTACCCCCCGGGCCCGGCCGGGATAATTAACAGAACCAGAAACCGTTTTCACGACGGCCATCTGGTACACATTTGGTGCACATCTGGTGTAGATTAGGTGCAGATTTGGTCAAATTAGGTTCAGTGCGTCTCTTAGTAGCGATCAGCTAGGGCTGCACTAATTGCTTATATGCCTGCTTTGTCATATTATCAGAGAGTATCATCGATTAAAACGCGGAAATAAATTCATATAATAAAGATATTTGCTGTAAAAGAGATTATGTGCAGATTTGGTCAAATTAGGTGCACTCGTCGGATAGCCCGTCGTGAAAACGGCTAATGTCGACCAAGTGTAAAGAAATGCGAGCAGTGGGATAGGTGAGGTAAAATCTAGTGAGGTAGGTCAGGCTGTGAGGCACACCACGGTGGGCAGTGGGGTAGGTCAGGCGGCGCCACCCGGCGCGCTGCCGTCTACGCTACGATACGGAGACTGTGCGAGTTGTGAGCTCCAACGCCCGCGTATTTACCGAAACTTTCCACGCTTCGAGCTGGTTCTATAACGTAGCTTGCGGAGCCGCGATAGGTTCAGAGCCACCAGTGAAAGCACCCCGGCGTTACTGGGGGCTCGGACCGGACCAACCCCTTTTCCCGGCATGTCATTACGTGGCCGGCGCGGCGTCCGGGGCTCATCAGTGACGTTACGTCACCTCAATTACTGGCGCCTCGCTCCGGTGAAGCTGACGCAGCACATGAGGTGAGTTGTGCCTTCGCACATTGTCGTCCAAATGGTGGCATAGGTAGGTGTTAGCATCATTATATAAAGGTCTCAAAGTTTGATAAAGTCTCACTGGAAAATTACATACTGGAGATGATAGAGGATGATGGACAAAAGTGCTTGCTTATCTCAGTTTCAACTCGAATGCAAAATGAAAAGCTAATTACTACACATTAGGGTGGTCCTTATTTTCGAAAATCGTATTTGGATACCTTGCGCCCCTTCAATCGGTGCCGTTTAACGAAAAAACATGTCTGTCAAAATTTCAGATCCCTACTTCATTATTTACTGGTAGCTCAACGC